TCCGGATTATGAAGTAGTCCTGCTTCCAAGCCGGGATCTTGCTCGAGAGCTTATGCATCAACTTGAAGCCCGGGCGAGGGGACAAGCAATAGGCCCTCCTATGCTCGGGGAGAATGCATGAGCGCTCTTCTTTATTGTGAGGATGGAACATAATATGTCCAAGTTCAGGGGGAGGACATACTCGTAGCAGAGGGAGATGGTCCCGACCACGTTACGGATCGAGTTCGGGTGGAGCTGGTCTATCGTAACGTTAAAATGGTTTAGGACCTCCACTATAAGTGGATGGAAAGGAAGGCGGAGCCCGGCTATGAGCTGCTCTCGGAAGATCACGACCTCGTCAGGGCCATGCTCCCATGGGAAGTTACCCGCAGGTAAACTGTAGGAGTACTCCCCAGGCAGGTTGTACTTCCAAATAAGGTAGCGGAGCCTCTCCAGGGTCATAGTAGAGGATCCGAACCTATCCGGCATCCGACCTCGATGAGAGGTGGACGCCAAGTTACTCGAGGCCTCCCGTGCCTCGAGGGACTGGACTCCAGTAGGGTCACCCTGAGCCGAGGTACCCACATCGGGCTCATCTAGCTAACTATTGAAGGAAGACATAACTAACAGAATTGAAGAGGAGCTAGGGTGACTCACCAAAGAAAGATGAACCGGACTGGGAAGAACTGACCCTCGAGGCGAAATCGGTTTAGTGCGTTTTTTGACATCCGCGGAGTCCATAAGTTGCGTGATGTCCGTGCGTAGACCATACGTGACCTGAGCTGCGCCTGGTAGAGCCGAGCAGAGAACCGGTCCAACCGATGAGCTGGCGGACAAGAAAGCTTAGGTCCCGAGCCAAATCCACCCGGTAGACCGCGGACTCCCCGTAGTTGGGTCAGAACCCCCAGCACGGGGAGTGGGGGGCAATTGATGTAGGGTGATCTGGCCCGACCTCGTAGCACGGGGACACGTGGACATGACCTAGCATAAGTGACAACTCAGCGCGATAGCCTAGCCACAACTCGGCGTAACAAGCTCGCCGAGGCCCGACCAAACGACTCGGTGGGTGTAACAACTCGCCGAGTAGCAAGGCCCAGCTCGCCCCGAGCTCCCTCCGTGCAAAGGGACCCGAGCTCCTCCTAAGGGGCTCCGAGCTCTCCCTCCCTAAGAAGGGAGCACCCCAGCTTTTGGCTAAGTGTCCCGAGGGAGAAACACCTCGGGATAGCACTGTCGAGACTCCTGTTCGTACTTGCTCGAGGCTCGCCTCCAGTGCGAGCACCTCGGCGTACCTCGGCACCTCGGTGCAAGGCAACCTTGCCCCAGGCGGTTCGGTCCATAGTAGCTCGGCAGCCTGCAGGGAAGATCCGCCTGACATCCGTACTTGCCGGATCTGGTGGCAGCGCCCACATCTCTTGCTAGGCAGTGCCGTGCCTGCCGTCTCTAAAAGGCATGACACACCTGACGATTCAGTACCCTGCAGCAGCAGCTTGTACCTGCCACCTCAGCCCTGGCAGTAACGGCTAGGGCAGTGGCAGTTACGCCTGATGTGACTGAGCTCCGGAATAAGAGGACCCCGACCCTCACGAAGCAAAGGTATTGAAGCTAGCACTTTCAGCACTCTTAACTCTGGGTTTTCCTTGAGTTTTCCTTAGAGTTCTAACTTAGCCATCGGAGTGTTTCCGTCGGGAGAGCTCCCCGGGAACCCTTCACGTTCCTCTTCATCTCAGGTGCCGTCTATCACAGCTATGAGCCAAGTTTCAGCCAGTTAGGAGTGCCCAGATTATGATGCATCACTTTGAAAACTGTTTGGATAAATGATTTTTTAAAGTATGTATGTCGGAACAAAAGAATCATTTCTAAGACTCGTCTGTGCTTCCGATGACGGTTTCCGATGATTTGGTGGCTGAGACTGGCGACAGTGGTGTAACTCCAGTAGTAGTGAACGGATGTAGGGCCAAGAGTTGTATCAAAAGGTGGTCACACGTGACCACCCGTTTGCATGAAAACGAAAGTTCTATTTTGCCAAAGACATGAAGTATAAAAAGTCGATTTCATGCTTTGGAAGTTTTAAAAAGTATGAAAACAGAAGCACAAAGTATATAATACAAATACTATATCGTACTTTTCATAAAATTCTATCCAAATAGGGCCTTAATATTGCACCTATCCCATCCTTCACTTTGGAGACTAAGTAGTGCGCACGTGGTAATAGTAATAATATATTTTTAAATTTTCAAGGTTTATCATATAAAAATAAAAATAATTTTTATTTATCAATTTAGAGATAGAGTTGTCAACGGGTCACGTCTGGGTCGAACTAATTGGAACCAGAACTGACCCAAAATGAAATGTTGAGGACCTGGACCTTGGTAAGTTCTGTAATGTTTGGACCCAAAACCGAACCGATTGCTTCTTGGGACAATCGAGTCTAACCCAACAGACACAATTATAATAAAAAATAAATAAATATCTATGTTTAATATATATTAAATATTCTATATTATATATATATAGTGTATATATAATTTATTTATTTAATACATTATACATTAAACATTATCAGGTTGGGTCTGAATTGATTCAAGACTAGGTGGAACTGGTTCCGAATTGATAGTAATCGGGACCCTATATCAAGATTCGGGATCCAGAACCGACACATCGGTTCTAGTTCTCGGAACCAAAAATGACCCAAATCTGTTCGGGTCCATCAGGTCTGCTAGGTTTGACCCAATCCATTGACAACCCTATTTAGAGATGTACCCAGATTGATTTTTATAAAATTTACTTAATTTTGTATTTTTTTGTGTTTTAATTTTTTTAATTATGACATTAAAGGTTAACATGTTTGACCTGAAAGGTTGAATTATTGATCTACCACCAAACATGAGAACAATCTCACTTTTGGGTTAGTTTTAAAATTTATATTTCATTATCATCATCAATCCAAACATTTCTTTTCTATTGCACTTTTGTCTTTAGTATGATCAATAAAATATTAGAGTAGTGCCTAAAATTTTCTACATTTTTTTTATTTGATATGGTGAATATATAATATTTAATATATACCCAAATGTTTTCTACAAATTTCTATATTTTTGTAATATTTTGTGTTTTTTATCTTTTTTTATTATTTAAATATGATATCAAATGTTGATACATTTGACCCAAAAGGCTAAATTTTTGACCTACCAAGTAGGAAAACAATTTAATTTTTGGGTTGGCTTTATATTTTGTATTTCATTTCTATCATCAATAAAAACATTTCTTGTTTATCACATTTGTTTTTATTTAATATGAATTAGTGAACTTCTGTATATATATATTTTTAAATTTTTATGTCTTTATATTTTCAAAAAAATTTGTTATTTAATTTTGACATCACGGATATTACCTAAAATGTTGAACTGTTGGCATGCCATCAAATAGGAAAACAATTTTATTTTTGGGTCAATTTTAAATTTTATACTTCATTTCCAATATCAATAAAAACAATTATTGTTTATCATATATATTTTTCTTTAATATAATTAATATAAAATATTAGAGATGTATCTAGTTTTTTACAATTTTTTGTATTTATTTCCAGTTTAAAGGTTTTATTATATAACTATGACATTCATGTGGGGTCCACCTTGAAATACCAAAAGTTATTACTCTTCAGCCCTCCCAAATGGGCACTTACGATTCATGCTTTGGGACTTTAGAGTGTTGTAGCTTAAATTATTATGCTTTTCAAAAGAAAATCTTACTAAATGCTTAAAACCCTTTCTGAGTCATTTGTGTTTTCCACAACAATAACTTATCCAAAGAGAGATTTGCTGAAGTATTTTTGAACAGCTGAAATTTTATTCACAAATTTTTAGGCTTAGTTTGGAAAGAGTATAAATGCAAATACATATAAAATAATACAAAATATAAGGTTTTGCACTCTACATATTTGCATTTGTACTCTTTCTAAATTGAGTCTTACGCTGTGTTTGCTTGCAATGCAAATAAATTTGTACTGATGCAAAACTATGACAGTGCAAATGATTTGTATAAATTCTGATGTATTTTTTGTTTTAAATTTTAGTTTATTTTATTTGATTGAAAAACAAATGAAGTGAATTAAGACATGAAGGAGGATAAAGTAAAATCCAAAACAAAATTAAATGAGAATTTGCATTTCATTTGCACTCCCATGCATTTGTACTAGTGCAAATAAAATTACACTACAACCGAACACATCCTTAAGTTCAAAAAGAAAACCTGAGCTTTAGCGATTTCATTTCAAAATTTATTGGTGTTAAGTGAATAACCTTATTTTTTTTTTATTTTCATCTATTTTTAAAACAAATCTAGGGGCAAGGGCGGAGCCAATGTGGCAAGGGGTAGGGATCACTTACCAACAAATGCTCCCAACCACCCCTAATAGGCCAATGCAGTTAGGGGTGAGCAAAAAAAACTGAAAAACTGAATCGACTGAAAAAATCGATCGAAAACCGAAAAATCAGTTAACCAAATAGATCGGTTTGGTGTTTTTAAAAAACTAAATGTATCGGTTCGATTTCGGTTAACCAATATAAAAAAATCGACAGTTAACCGAACCGATTGGTATACATATATTCTATATATTTTATATATTATAAATTAATAAATATACATTATATGTAAATATATATATTTATAATATATGATATATTATTTATTAATTAAAATATAATATTATATATATATTTATAATTTTTTATTATATATTAATATATATTATAAAAAATTGAAAAACCAAAAAACTGACGAACCGAACCAATTAACCAGTTAACCAACTGATTTTGATTCGGTTTCGAATACCGGTTTTGCAAAAACCAGTAATACCAATTCAGTCCTCAAAAAAGCCCCATGGTTTGGTTAACCGAACCGTGAGCACCCATAAATGCAGCCACTCATTGGGAACATCTCTTTTGTAATTCATAGGGAGATGTTCCTGATGTATGGCTGCAATGGGGGATTCCCCAAACACCTGTTTATAGAATGGGGGATCTATGGCTGATGCATGCTATTGCTGTGAGGTCAGTGTGAAGAGCAGATCTGGTCTCCCATTTATATTTCGCCTTATGTTTTTTCCTCCATCTAATGTTTATTAACACTTTTGGCCCTCAATCCATATTTATTAACTTTTGGACCCATTAACAAAAATCTTGGCTCTGCCCTTGTCTAAATTCTTATTATTAGTTTTAATTTCTTTATAACTCTGGGGTGTATTCAGCTCCTTACCATATATAGTAAGAACACCTACAGTATAAATATGATACTATTGTGTTTTGGAGGATTCCATGGGGCTAATACACAACGGGGTAGTCCAAATCCACAACTCCGCACCCCCTCCCCCTCCCCACCTCCAATCCTTGTGAAGCCCATGTCTCCGCAAGAACAAGCCAGAGACCTTATCAATTAAACCAATTGGCACCTTCACTATAAATTCATACTCACTAACGCATCAGGGAGAGAGAGCCCTGTCGAGTGTGGACAGCTTGAAGCTGTCACAAAGCAGTTCCTTCTTGATAAGCATATAATTAATGGTTCAATTTATTAGAGCTGTATATGGTTCAATTTATTGAATATGATGATAAGTACACCACGTTGATAAATATGAAAGTGCATTAAACCTTACACGAGAATATTAGATCAAATGGATGGACTCGTTTGTATAGGTAATAACAACCCAATTTATGACTTCGTCAGCTGGGTGAAAAAAAGACAGCACCTCAAAGCCATGGCGGATCCTCAACATCCAAAGGGCTCCATGGCCATGTGATTAGCCGGGCTTGGATTTATTACCCACCACCAGTTGTTCTTACATCTCTACTACTCACGGGATATTATAGCTGTACGGCGTGAATATCTCCCGGAGATATTTTTAATACATGGCAGTGGTGTTTTGTGGGTTGTAAATCGGATTACCCGAGTTTGAGCAAATTTAACTACATCAGGCTTGGCTTGGCTTGGCTTGGGTGATTGATAATTCGCGTCTTCCCCACCTTGCCCATGCCAACAAGAGCTTCTAAGAAAACAACATCATAGTTCCGGAGGCTATTGAAAACATTCAAAACATCAGTACTAGTGTGGAAGAACATCCGTTCTGATAAATCAGGTTCAGAGGAAACCAAGCACCCACTTGTCACCAGTCAGCGTTTGGTTTCCTCTGATCCTGACTTGTCAAAACGAATGTTCTTTCACACTAGTACTGATATCATGAATGTTTTCAAGGAAGAGAAGACAGGAATCATCGATCACCTTTTGATGTGAGGAGTACACATGACATGGAGGTGAAGCATTTCTTCACCGTTTCGAGGATCCTGCTGATCTCCACCAAGGCTCTGAGGTGCTGTCCATCTTTCATCCAACTGACGAGGTCATAAATTGGGTTGTTATTACCCGTAAATATACAAATAAATCCATCCATTCACTACATCTAGACTTGGGCTCTAATGTTGGAGCAGTATGGAAAGATGTGGAGATGATGAACTTCATGGGATTAGCCCCTTAGCTTCTCTCCACACAACCTAATGAACTTCATGGGATTAGTCCCTTAGCTTCTCCACATGTAGCAAATTCATGGGGCTACACAACGGGGGTAGCCCATCCCCAACCCTGGTGACAGTGAGATTTGATATATCTGCTACAATGAGTTGGAGATCCTTCCAATTAAGTCATTGCCAGGCGGTGACATCTGATGATCCAATAACTTTGATGATCATCATTTGAGGCATAAGATCAAATCCACATAACTGAAAACTCTCTATTGTAGCTCTCTCTCTCTCTTTGTTGTGTTTTTGAGAGATAACATACACTGCTCTTCCTCCAGTCCTTATTTATAAACCCTTGCCGGGCCTAGAGAGCGAGAGAGAGAGAGACTAATTTATCAACATCAAACGCCCACAACACGATGTGCTCAATATTTCTACGTGAAAAATAGACCTGGATCAATACAATGCCTAGCCTGCCGTGCACGGCACCCTGCATCATTTTTCTTTGTGAGTTGTGACTTGGTTAGTGTTTTCTTCTTTTCAAAGATTCCCAAACCTGGTTAGTGTTTTCTTCTTTTCAAAGATTCCCAAACGACTTCTCTTAATTTTAAACCAGAAAATTTTCTATCTAAAAATTTCTTTAACCAGAAAATCAAGAGAAGGGGTTTATCACTAGCTGAGAAAAATTTTGCTGTCCATACATTCCACAGCCTACGATATCCACATGATACATGAGTCCATATTGGCCATACCGTCACCACTGTCCATGGATTCCACCCCCTTCTTCAAAGTCTTCATATGTTAGGAAAATAACGGCAGCCCTGTCAAGGGAGGAAATTTGTGGAGGACAATGCAAATACTAGGAATTCACGTAGGCGCCTTACAAAACATGCCCCACAGGCACACCCCACATGTACATCTCAATGTGCATTGGGAATCAAGGTTTTTAAAATCAATTTAGAGAATGAACCGGTCAGGGGTCCGGTTTTCGGACCGTTCGAACTGAATGGTTGGCCCATTTTGACAAAAAAAATTGAACAAATAAAAATAGTAGTTAAAATCATTGAACGGTTTGAATGGTTCAGCCGCCCGAATCAACAGTTTACTGATCAAATCAACGTTTTTTTGCAAATATCCGATTTTAGGGAAAAACAGAATTGGTCACTTGACTGGTTCTTGGTTTTTCTGGTCCGACTGTCTGGTCCGGTTTGATTTTAAAAACCATATTGGAAATATTTCACATACTTGTTATTAAAAATTGTTCTCAATATATGGTTGAGATATAGAGTAGGTGCCAATGTAAATTCAATTATTACTTAATATAAAGAAAAGCTGAATAACAATCTGGGTAAGGAGACGGATGTTGCCAGGAAACTTCACAGAAAGTTATGAGACTTATACTTGCAATTCAGAACTCAAAAGCCCATATAATTGCAGGAATTAAAAGAATAAAATACTAGTAGGGAATTGACAAAAACACGTGCTTCTTCTATCAGATTTATTTCCTTACAATTGAATAAGGTACTGTTTGACAAGTTTTTCAGAAAGATTTTTAAAAAGCTCAATAAATCAAAGATGCTTTGAACTAAACGTATTAAAACCTTGGGGGGTATCCACAACTTTGCATAGTCTAGGCAGTGAAGTGATGCACCCCCACAGTTAGGGGTGTTGATTGAACTGGATTTGGTCTAATCCGATCCAGTCCAATGTAAGTCCATTACAAATGGATCAGGTTCAATCCAATGCAATGAATAATTTGGACTATTTTGGACCGGTCCAATTTGTTTAAATTTATTTTAATTTAGATTGGTTTTAATCCAATCTCAGTCCATTGACACCCATATTCTTATCTTATATCAATGGACTGGATATTTGGCTTAATCCAACCAAATCCAATATATATTTATTACGGATGGACCAGGTCCAGTCTAATCTAATAAATATTTTGGACCGGATTGGTCCAATCCACTATGTCTTTTTGGTCCGTCGAATCTGTCCAAATTGATTTTGGACTGGATGGGGTCCAGTCCAAAACCAGTTCATTGACACCCTTACCCACAGTGTGGGGGCGGGGGGTTGAAGTTTACCAAAAAGAAAATCTAAGATTAAATTAGGTTCAATTTGGAAAGAGTATAAATACAAATATGTACAGTGCAAATCAAGGTTTTAAGAACTGACCTTTAATCGGAAACATTCCGCCTACCAGTTTCCAGGTCAACTGTTTGACCATCCAGTTCGAACAGATGACCCTTTTCAACTTAAAAATAAAAATTAAAATAAAAAGGGACAAAACCATTGAATGGATTGGCCGCCTGGATCAGTGGGTCATTGATTAAATCAAATTGTCCAAGGACCAGGTTAATGGTGAATGGAACTGGTTGCTTGAATGATTCTCGGACCATTCGGTCCAACCATTCAAATCAATGATGGTTCAAAAAAACTGATGCGAGTACACACAAAATAATACAAAGTACAAGATTTTTCACTCTACATGTTTATATTTGTACTCCTTCCAAACTTTGCCTTAGCGATTTCTTTTCTAAATTTATTGATGTCAATGAATAATCTTCCTTTTTCATTTTCAGCTATATTTTATGAAATATAGTGGTATACGCTAAATCAACATATGAACTCATTTTGTCATTTAAATCACTCTAAACTCTTTTTTTTTGTGTGTGATTCTTTTTTTTTTCAGGTTTTGTGTGGTTCTTATTTCTAGTTTTAATATCTTTATAAGTTTAGGGTGTATTTAGGGTCTGTTTGGTTTACATTTGGAATCAAAACCGGAATTGGAAATGGAATTAGAATGGTCTATTCCCATAATCTGTTTAGTTCAGACAGGAATGAGAATGAAAATTAAAATCAGCAGGAATGAGATTTCATTCCCAAGGGAGGGGCAATGCCATTCCAGCAAGAATGGGAATGGGATTCCAATTCCGCCCAACCAAACAGTTAGAATTGAAATAACCCATTTCGATTTTAATTCCAGACCCTTATTCCTACAAGCCAAACATGGCCTTAACTCTTTAACATCTATGGTATAAATATGACATAGGAAACATTTCTACACAATTTTTTTTGGAGAAAAAATCTGGATATTCATGTTCAACAGCCTCTGCAGTCTCGAGGGCTCTCTCCATGTAACATTTAGGGTTAGAAAAGCTATACAAGGTTTGTAAAGGTTTTTCTACATTTTCTTTCCTTTCCCTACATTTTCCTTCAAACCAAACACAGCATTAGTACATACAGTTACTGTCATTTTAGCAGTACAACTTGAATAGGCTTGGGTTGGGCTTTTGTCAAAATTTGAATAAAGCCGGTTCAATGGCCTCAAAACAGTTTAAAATTAGGAATAACAACGAACAGATTCGGGGTGGGGATAGCCCATCCCTCAGACCCCTCCCTACCCCCACCTCCAATACTTGTGAAAGTGGGATTAGATCCCATGTTTCTGTTACGAGCCAGAAACCTTACCAAACCATTTGACACCTTACTGTCACATGAAATTCCTATTAACTAACGTATCAGGCAGGCAGGGAGAGCCCTGTGGACAGCCTGAGGCTGTCACTTCCAAGCAGTTGTTGCTTTCTGATATCCCCAAAGTCATAAGCATCTAATTAATCCTTCATAACGGAAACAAGAGCTGTACATGGTTGAACTTTCCATCTCAAATATCCACCATACAAAATAACATTACATACATGATTCATACCCATCATATGTACCCATCTAATTAATGCATGATGCATACCCATCATACCCATGGGAGATCTCATTGTATACCTATCAACATTTGCTGGGCTCAAGAGAGAGAGATTAATTTATGAACACTAATAATTAAACATATGTATTGTACGTGAGAAACTTTTATTTATATTAATTATTTGAATTTTAGATATATCATAGTTAGGATAGAAATTAAAAATTAAAAAACTAACAATATGATCAAAAATAAACTTAAATATTTATTATTGAATTATGACATCATGTGGTTTTTTGAAAGGTTGGATCATTGACTCACCATCTAGATAAGAAATAGCATTGCTTTTGGATTAGTTTTAAATTAGGGAAAATTATAGTTGGAGTCGGCTGTACATTTAAATTTTGGTTACAAGTTGGTTCATAAACCTACAAAACTCTAACAAACGGCTCTACATTTCAAGTTATAAAAACCCTTGCCATGTCATCGGAGGGTTATGTAGATTTTGCCAACATGGGACTCTTAATCCATATTGAACACAATAAAAAGCTTATATTGAAATTGCCCTCTAATGTTGGGGATTGAAAAAAAAAGGGTTTTTAGTTTCTCTCTCTCTCAATCTCCTTCACTCTCTTTCACTCACATTCATCTTTATCTACTCAACGACTATATGATTTGAAAATAAATGAAAATGGTTTTTGGTTTCTGTATTTACATTCTCTATATCAATTTCTCTCATTTTCTCTCTCTACTTATCGTTCTTCCTCAATCTCTTTCATTCTCCTTCTTGGTCGATTTTTCCTCCCTTAATTTCTATCATTCTCCCTCAGTTCTTCTCCCTCTCTTGTTTTTTTATTTTCTTACACACTTATATGGTATTAATCAAATTGTATAAAAGAATATGAGACCAACTTGGTATGGTTCAAAAATTATTACACCAAATTGATAAAATTTACAAGAAACTCTTGGCTATGAAATTTACACCAATTGGAGAATGATAGAGATTGAGGGAGAAGGAGATTTTGACCAAGAGGGAGAGTGACGGGGAAGAATGAGAAAGATTGAGAGAGAACAATAGACAAAGAGAGAGAGGTTTTGATTTGGTTACAGACCGAAGCAGAGAGAGTGGGAGAGACAAAGGGAGTAGGAGATCGAGAGATGACTGTGAGAGTGAAAGAGAAGGGAGGGAGATCAAGAGATAGAGGTAGTGAGAGAGAAACTGAAAACCTATTTTCGATATAGGTAGAGATAGAGGGATTGGGAGATTGAGAGATGACTATGAGAGTGAGAGAGAAGGGAGGGAGATCGAGAGACAGAGGAAGTGGGAGAGAAACTGAAAACCTATTTCAAAAATAGGTTTTCTACTGTGTACAACATGGAGTAAGAGTGCCATGTTGGCAACAACTACATAACCCCCTGATGACATGGCGGGGTTTTTTCTAATTTGAAATGTAGAGCCGGTGTTTAGATTTTGATTGGTTTTCTGGACCAATCTGCAACCTAATTTTAAATGTACAACCGACTTTGATTATAATTTTCCCTTTAAATTATATATTTTATTTACATTGTATAAAATATTTTTTACTTATCACACTTAATTTTTGTTTGTTTATGGTATCATTTTACTCAAACCACTAACCCACCATCTAAAAATAAAAATTGTTCGATTTCTATGTTGACATTAAATTTTGCATTATATTTCCATCATTGATAAAATTATTTCTTATGTATAAAACTTATTTTTGTTCAATATAATGAATGTACAATAATAGAGATATACCTAATATTTTATTTTTTATAAATATATAACATTAGATATCTGCCCAAAATTTTCTCTTATTTTTTTTTATTTTTGTGATTCTTTGTATTTTCTATTATTAAAAATTTTACTATTTGACTCTGACATCATTTAATTTCTAGGTAGATTTTGAAATTGGATTTCCATTTTCATCATTAATAAAAGTACTTCTTACATTTCATAGTTATTTATTTTATTTTTTTATTATTTAATTATGACATTATTTATTAATCATTTAACCCCAAATGGTCAAATTGCTTGCCCACCACCGGGACGGAAGAAAATGATTTTGTTTTCAAATTAATTTTCAAAATATTTATTTTTATACTATTAAAATTAATATTGTGGATTTAATTACAAGAGTTTAATGATGAAAAATACATATTTTAAATATAAGATTTAATGAGAGAGAATAGGAAAATATTTTTATTTCCAATTGGTTTTAAATTTTATATTCCATTTTCATCATTAATAAAAACATTTCTTATTTAACATACTTATTATTGTTTAATATGTATGTTAAAAATGTTCCCTATTTTTTTAATTTCTACTTTTTCATTTTATTATTTAATCGTGGCAACATGGATTAACCCATTTGACCAAAATGATTTAATTAATTACCACCACTTAGATGAAAACAATATTTTTGCTTGATAGATTTTAAAGGTATAAGGTTTAATGTTATTGGAATTATTAATTTATTAAGTATGGATTTAATTAATAGAACTTAATGATGAGAATAAATAAAAATGACTTAAATATATGGTTCAATGAACATGAGTGCAAGTTAATAACTCAAATGTTGGATTTAATGAGAGAGGATTGAATGCATTGAATATCTTTAAATTACCTCTTTTCAACTCATTTAATATCAAGAACCAATTACCCTTTTGCCCTTATTTTTCTATCATTAAATTTAAATATAGAGGGGTAAATATTGTCGTTAGAAAATTCTAGAAATATTCTTGAGGCCATTCGTATTTTTTAAAGCAGTATAGATCAAGCACCCGAGACATTATTTGCATCAATTTTTCTATGGGCTATACTATAATATCGGAAGGACATGATATTTAAAAAACTCCTGACCAATCATGTGGTATCATAAATGTTATAACTAATTCAGTGTTATTTATCAAAATTTAGGAATGAATTTTAATTGATTGATCAAAACTTTTCTGATATCATATCTTTCCCACATCATAGATATTCTCTTTTTTTATATACACTTGGATCAATACAATGCCCAAGTTATCGTGCACGCCACCCTGCATTCTTCATCATTTTTTCTTTTTTCTTCGTGACTAATAGACCTGGGTAGTGTTTCTTTCCCCAAAGATTTCCTAACCATCTCTCTTAATTTTTAATCAGAAAATTTTCTATCGAAAAAATCTTTAACCAGAAAATCAATAGAAGGGGTTTATGAATCTTTAATAAAGACATGTCGAGGCACTTGGTCATCACCACTAGCTGAGAAAAATCTGTCCTTAGATTCCACAACCTATGCTATCTACAAGCTCTCTCCACATGTAAGAGTGTTAATAGACCGGATTTGGGGTGGACCCAGTAATCAAAACCAAGTTGAACAGGTTGGATGGTCTAATAAAATATATTAAATTGGATCAATCTAAACTTAATGGTCCAAAGTATTTATTGGATGGATTGGACCTGATCTATGTAATTGATTTCTACTGGATAGGGCTGGGTTGAAAGATAAGAGTAGGAGTGTCAATGGACAATCTAAATTTAAATCAATTTGAACAGGTCAGATGATGCAGTGAGACATTGAATTGGGATGGTCCAGTCTAAAATATTTTTTTGGATTGGATTGGAGCTAAGGATAATCGGGCCTGGCTCATTTAGACCTAAGGGTTTGTTTGGTTTGAGGGAATAGGACCCTGGAATCGGAATCGGAATAGGTCATTCCGTTTCCGGATGTTTGGTCGACCGGAATGGGAATCTCATTCCCATTCTAGGCGGAATGGGAATCCCTCGTATGGGGAATGGCCATTCCCGACCCCTCCTCAGGGAATGTGATTCCCATTCCGGTTAAATGTTTTTTGGACAAAAATGCCCTCCTCATTTTCGATCTAGTCGAAGAGACAAAACAGGAGATTGGAGATTGGAGTTTCCCCATTTTCAATCCAGTTGAAGAGATGAAAGAGAGATTGCTAGAACTCCAAGCCTTCTTCCATCGCTGAACAGAGAGCTGATCCATTTCGTTTTAATTGGTATGTAAACCGCCATTCTACTTCACTCGGTGATGATCGTAGGTCTTATTGTCGGAACACCTATGCGAAACTTCGCTTCATTTTTTGATTTGTTTATTCATATTGATCTCTTTAATTGTTTCACTTGGTTTTAATTCGATTGCTTGCATCACGTACTTGGTCTTTCAAATATAATTATGATTGGATTTTCTCTTTTGCTGGAATTTGATCCATTTCGTTTTTTTCGATATGCATTTAGCTGTTATTTAATCCAGTATCCTTACGGAGCTACTTTTGTAGTAAATTTTTTTGTCATCCATCTGTTTGTTTTTTGTATTGCATTCTCTCTATTTTGGAGTTTCCCCATTCTTCCTTTTAATCCCCCAAAAGAAAAAATTCTTTCTCTCTTCTGTTATTCATAAAATCTTAGATGGAATAGGAAGATTGTTCGTAATTTAATTGTTTCCTCTACTATAGCTGGTCATGCATTGAAACCGACATGGGCGGTTGATTTTCCATCAACTCAATGATGATTTTCCATAAGATCAGCGAGTGTGATCTTCCAATAATTGCCTGTGTCTTGCCCGTCAAACTGGTTGCAGATCTGTAGGATATCTTTCTCTGCTATCTTCCCCATCTCCTTAAGCTTGTAGATAACGTACTCAGATTTGCTGGATGTACACAAGAAAGAAAAGAGTACAAAGTTAGAAGGGATAAGCAACCAAAATGTAAGAAAGAAATGGTCCTTGGTCAAAGCAAAATGGATGCAACAACCAAAGAAAATAGCTTGCTCTCTCTCTCTCTCTCTTTGTCAGAGTCAGAAAGCAACAGTTTTCAAAATACATGCAAGTGATTTCATACGGTTTGGATGATACAAGGATTGCACTTGTAGAATCAACAAACCACAAATATTCTTGTAGTTTATATCGGAAGACTAGGCCCATTGTATTTACATCTATATTTGGCAGAAACTATCTCAATGGTCTCACTATTGCTCATAATATGCTGTTACATTCAAAAAATATATATTTTTTGAAAAACTGTGACTTAAACACCACACATTGGTAAATTTGCTTTGGAGTTTAGGTATTTCTTTGGAGGTGTACTACTGTTGCTCATTATTTTTATAATGGACATTAGTATGTCAAGCTAGAATATGTGCCATTACTAAATATTGTGAATCTGTCATTTGAAGTGTGGACAGGATACCTTGGATTATTCCTTTTAGTTGAATAGTCGTGTTTTAATATTCCTTCTAATTAAACAAAAAATAATGATCAAAGCTTGAGTGCACATTTTACAATTGTGCTTCATTTCAGTTATTTCATCATAAAATGGTATGCCTATGAACATATTGCAATTTAGTGATGCAGTTAACTTATTTCCTCAAATTGCTTATTAAATTTCTGCAAACATAATTGCTGATTCTCAGCCTCTGAAGCGGAAGAGTGAAACAGAAGATTGTGAAGGCTACCATGAGTGGACTACCAGTCCTGGATACACTGAAGTGGTTAACAGCTCCCTTCGTACACCAGTATCAGGAAAAGGGGGCAGGGTATACAGCAAGTCAAAGGTTCCAAAGCATAGCAAATCAGGGCCTCAAACCCCTGTGCCAAATGTAGGTGAGAAGTGTCTCTACAATGGTTTCTTTTTTGCATTAATTCTCACTGTGGTTTCTTTTTTGGCATTAAGTTGACTCAGTCCTTCCTATGGTACTATGGATTGCTCAAAGAAAATTGAAATCGAATGATTTTTTAATTTCTCAGCTTTCAAAATCTCCTTGTCAAATAAAGCACTAAACTGGATGTGCATGTTTCTAGCACTTTTTTCCACTGTATCTTTGGCTGGTATTAGAGATATTGTTGCTGTAGACATTACCAATGAATTATATGTTCAAATTTCTTGTTAGTAGCCTCAAGATACTTAAAAAATTAACTAAAATATAACTAATAAACTAATATTGTCATTAGGTGCTAGCAACAGGTAGGGAAATGGCAAAATGTTGGAACTAGTGATATCATCTGTCATAACTAAATAGCTAATAAACATAAGTGAGTGTTATATTGTTCAATGATGACTAATTATTTCTTATTTTTATTTTAACCTGTGCATTTGTGAATTTTATTTGGATATGGAAAATGATTTACATCTTTCTTTATATGTGCTTGATTTCAATAATGGTTTTGATGCCATAATATTGGTCTTGATGATTAACCCATTGAACAGAGGGTTGGTCTTAGAATGATGTTTAATTTAAAGCAAATATTTTTTTTCATGAAGGAATATGTTGATGCTAAGATAAGTTCAATTGAGAGGAAGCCCCATGACTCTGGTTGTGCATGCCAGTTTTATGTAACATGCTATAGAGCCCAAGAACCTCACAGCATGGTGAAGATGACACTTGGGGAAGAAATCAGAGAAGTAAAACTTGAAAATATTAGTATCTTACAAAAACTTCAGAGAAAACCTTCAGAAGATGTCTACTATCATTGGAGCTACTCTGAAGACTGCTCCTTCATGCGTAGAGCTATACTACATCGCGGTCAGTTCTCTTCTGATATATCATGGCTACTGGTTGCATCCATTTGGAAAGGACTTGGATTTGATGTCAAAACAGTGCAAAATAAAATGGTCTATCAACTTCTTGATAGTGATCATGACATGTGTCCTCCAAGTTCCTTGAACAATGTAAAGACCATAAACTTCCAAATAGATAATGAAGTTATGAAGCCCAGTAATATGAACTTTTCCCCTATGGTTCCTGTAAATACATTTGTTTTAAATGATCCTATGGATGTGGATCTTGTTCATGATATGAAAGAAGATAAGCCTTTTTTTCCATATATGCATTTGATAGCAGGTTGCCAATGTGTGTATATGTTGAAAATATATAATTAGTGGATGTTTTTGAGCAACAGGGGCAGAATTGAAAATTTTGGCTGATTCCCATTCCAGCTTCTAGTTGAACCAAACAGTAGGAATCAGAATCCGATTCCAATTCCTGATTGAACCAAATAGATGCCAGGAATAGATGATTTCGATTCCAATTTTGGTCTTGTCCGCAAACCAAACACACTCTAAATATATTAATTAGGATAAAATTATAGAACCAGAACCGTTATAATCTATTTAGCTCAACTCGGTTCAGTCAGGCAGAACCAACCCATTGACAATCCTAAGAAGTAGAAGTATAAAAAAAAAAACTCCAGATTCCTCTCATGAAGCCATTGCCTCTCTCTCTGTTTCTAATTAGCATACATTGAGTTTCATTATTTTAATGGTTTGACTTTATTTTCATTTCTCTCCCTCATAGATAAGATAGGGTCTATTTGGTTCGAGGGAATAGGACCCTGGAATCAGAATCGGAATGGGTCCGGATGTTTCGTCAACTGGAATGGGAATGAGTAGGCGGCATGCCATTCCCCCGTATGGGGAATGGCCATTCCCGACCCCCTCCCCCGGAATGTGATTCCCATTCCGCTTAGTTTCTCCTTGTTTGTTGTCTTTTTGGACAAAAAACCTGTCCAATCGAAATCAAAAGCATTGGTGGCTTCGCAACAGAAAGGTGGGTTTCACTTTCTATGCTTCGTTATTCATTTTTTCTTACCGATGATCTACTATGGGATTCGATTTATCGCCTTCCCTCCCCTGTTTTATTAAGTTTTCTGCTACTGTTGATGTGTTATTTTGGGTTTTTTCGGACTGCCCTGAGGTCGATCTGTAATCCATGAAGGTAACCTTGATATCTCTGTGGATCTGCAGTTGGCTTCTGGCACAGAAAGGCAATCCATGAAGGTGGGTTTTTCGGACTCCATCTTAACTGACATGCATTTACTTCTCAGATCGTAGAGAAATATGTAAAAGATGTTTGGCTACTCATCGCAACCCAGGAGCATTCGGAGATCGCCTCGGCCCTCAACCTCCTCGATGCCGCTCTTGCCCTCTCTCCGCGGCTTGAGTCGGGTCTGGAGCTCAAAGCTCAACCCCTCCTCTATCTCCGGCGCTTCAAGGAGGTCGCCGACATGCTCCAAGAGTACATTCCGAGTTACAAGATGGTCTACGAGGAATCGTCCCTCTCCTCCGATAACTCTTCTCAGCAGCCCATGGAATCAATAATAACTCCCCACACCGGTCATTAAATTCACGTGGCCAACAACCACGGAGTGGTATTTACTTACAGCAAAAATTGTGCATTTGTTCAAATACAGTAGAAATCATGGTTTTCAAAAGTCCATTTTATCCCAAAACCATTGATTTGGTCAGTAAATCATTGATCTGGGTGGTCAAACCGTTTGAACTGTTTAGCGGTTTAGTTAATTCTTATTTTTTTTGTCAGAACGGACGATTCATTCCGTTCGAATGATCAGACCGTTTGACCTGAGAACCACCGGTTCATTATCGGGATGGATTTTAAAAATCTTGGTAGCAATATAATCTGTATCAACACAAATCATCATGAAACTGAAACCTATCAAGTCTGTGATGTGTAAATACATATCATGTTGGAACATGTTGAAACGTGTCTGAACAATTTTTTGTTGTAAGCAGATCCGGCCTCCACAACCACAAACTGTCACTTAGCATTTATGGCTGTTGGCTGAAATGAGGGCTTGCCATTGGGTACACAGCCCGTTACAGTCTATTGTTCCCACCCCTTAATCCCTTTGTGTAATATATAATACCATAAAAGATTTTATTTTCTGCAAGGTGCCAACTGGCTAGTTGGCAGGATCTCCGGCTGTTTGTGGCGGAGACTTGAGAAGTGAGAACTAATCCCTCCTGTACCACCCCTATGGTTTTAGGACAATAAAAAAAAATGAACGAGGAAGAATTTAACATTTAACCAAACTTCTATATTTCGAGTTAGCTTCTCCTAAAGTTCAATAATCCATCCTTGAAAGATAAAGCTTTAAGTCATTAGCATTTAATTAAATAATAAACATATCTATATCTTTTTTTTTTTTTTCTTGATAGGTACATATGTCTACATCTAATTACAGGTATCACAGTTATTCCCATTAAAAGCTTCGAACCATTAACATGGTTGTCCTGAAAGATGCTTGTTTGAGCTCTAATTATGTGGATTCGTGCGACCCATCTCCTATACAAGTTCCAACACCATAAGAAGAACCACCCTTCACCATCATTCATCTCAAAAATGCCACTTTCAGGGGAACCTGCATAATTGCTATGGTGCTGTGCAGCCATGAATGAGCATATACAACCAGTAAGCAGTGGATTTATGAGAGATGAAAACTATTTCTAAAAATTACAATGGCTTCTAGGAGACAAATTAACATCAGTTCTTATGAGGGATTAAACGATTTAAAAACAAACCATGGTTCCATTGTTATGGGCCCGAGCGTAGGATCGCGTCACGGGTCGTTCCGCGGCAAGAATCCCTGATCTTTCCTTGTCTTTGGCCTTGCGCACAGACCCTATTTTGCCTATCTAGTGGGCGATTTGTCCAAGAGACCACCCAAACTCTCCTCGTTCGTTTCTTGACTGGAAAACTAAATGCCTTTATTTTAATTCGTAGCTCCTTAAGTAGGAGATTACAAAAGAGAATTCCTTGTTGGATTCGGCTAGGCTAGGGTAATCCAACTCTAACTAAAACTCCTAATTTCCTACTCAAACTAAAACTCATAACTCTTACTTAAGAAGATAAAATAAGATAAGGATAAGATAAGGGATAAGGGATAAGGGATAAGGGATAAGATTAAGCTGGCGGCGAGTTGACGTGTCCAGATCAGGGTGGGCCCACCCCTATGAGCTATCGTGTGGGCCCTGCTCTGCAACTACTATCGGGTGCATGCGCACGGCTCATGGTGTTGCTGCCGCGTGGTGCATGCGCGCAGTGCTTCTGTCGCACAGTGCGTGTGCGCGGCTCAGGGTGCCGCTACCGTGCGGTGTCGGCGCGGTGCGTGCTGCCGGGCGGTGCGTGCTGCTGCCTATGATTGCGCCACAGTGCGCTGCCGGGTGGTGTGTCCATAACATCACACCCCTCCCGGACTACGAGCTTGTCCCCAAGCTCAAATTGGGTGTCGAAACACCTTCAAGGGAATCCTGGGTGGCTTTACCCTCCTGGATCGGGTTCCCATGGAGGGGGTTCATCCTCATCTTCCTCTTGTTTCACCAGGAGGCAGAAAAGTCTCTTGCACCTGTGCCCTGCCGAGTAGAGTTCATCGCAATTAAAACATTGCCCCCTCGACCTACGTTCTGCCATCTCAACCCTTGACAAGTGCTTGATAGGGGGTGTACCGCCGCTGCTCCCCACACTGGATGCTGATCTAGAATTGGTGCTCGTCTGTGGCTTCCATTCTGGGCTGGCTGTTGGATATGGAGCCATTCCAAGTGGTTCCCTGTTGTCTGCCAGCGAAGACCCTCCTCCAGTAGGCTTCGGGTTTGTCCAAGCCACTGCTAGGCATCCCATGCTGAACGGCCCTCGGCTAATCTACAGTTTGCGTTCGAAGGCTCGGGCTAAATTCATTGTCGTGACCAGGTTAGGCGGGCTTTGCATCTCTACATCAACTCTCAGGGGTTCAGCTAGACCAGCTGTGAACATATCAACTTGCTGGTCTAGGCATACTGAAGAGGCCCTGGCAAGAAGGGTCTGGAACTACCGCTGATACTCTGCTACAGTACCGGTCTGCTTGAGATTAATGAGTTCCCCCAAAGGGTTGTTTGTTAGTGGGGGTCCGAACCGAAGGAGGCAGTACGACTTGAACTGCCCCCAACTAAGACCTGGTTCCTCCTACTCCACTCGGTAGAACCAGAGTTGCGCTTCTTCGGTCAAGTGGAATGCGGCCAAGCTGACCTTGTCCTTGTCATCGGTGCGCTGGTTGCGGAAGAACTGTTCACAGTGGTGCAACCATCCTAGTGGGTCTCCAGTGCCGTTGTAGGATGGAAATTCCAGCCGGCTGTACTTGGGAATAACAACGGCTGTTGGGGTAGCAGTCTGCTGTTCACTAGACGTCTCCGCCCTATCCGGACGGCGGCTGTTGGTGGTGGCAGTTCCCTCCGAGCTTCTTTCGTTGTTGAAGAGAAACGCTTCCACAGGCGTCGCAGCTCCCGGACATCATCCTTGACCTCACGAACTTCCAAGCAGGTTTCGGCGAGCCTATGCTCTAGCTCGTGGACCCTAGAAGACAGTGGCTCCTGTTCCCCCATGACGGTAGGCTCTGATACCAAAATGTTATGGGCCCGAGCATAGGATTGCGTCACGGGTCATTCCACGGCAGGAACCCCTGATCTTCCCTTGCCTTTGTCCTTGCGCACAGACCCTATTTTGCCTATCTAGTGGGTGATTTGTCCAAGAGACCACCCGAACTCTCCCTTGGGGTGATTTGTCCAAGAGACCACCCAAACTCTCTTCACTCGTTTCTTGACTAGAAAACTAAATGCCTTTATTTTAATTCGTAGCTCCTTAAATAGGAGATTACAAAAGAGAATTCCTTGTTGGATTCGGCTAGGCTAGGGTAATCCAACTCTAAC